GCCCTCATATGTGGGATCCGAACCGGGGCCCTCTGGCGTCCCAAGCCAGCTCTTAACCAACGTGCCACTCGGCTGGCCCCTTTTTTTTTTTTTTTAAACACACGGTTACAACACTTTTTTTTTTCTCTTTAGAACTCTGGAAAATTTTATTCTTTTAAATAGGTAAAATGTGTTACAAAATTCAAACATTACTTTAAAACCTTCTTTTAAACTGAGACAATTCACCTGCCATAAAATTCACTCTTTTAAAGTGTACGAGTCAGTGTTCGTATATTCACAGAATTGTGCAACCATCACCGCTGTAATTCCAGAACTTTTTCTTCACCCCGAAAAGAAAACTTAGCAGCCACACCCCCAACCCAAGATCCTGGAAGCCACCAATCTACGTTCTGTCTTTCTAGGTTGATGTATTCTTCAAATATTAGCTTTTTTTTTTTTTTTACTGTCTACCATTTTATTGGGTTGTCGGAAAAGTCATGACGCATTTTTGCAACGAAAAACAGAAAAAATACACCATGACTTGTCCGACAACCCAATATAAACCTGCTTCCCATCCCTGTGCACACCCCTCACCCCACCCCACCCCACCTAGCTCCTTTACTTGGAGGCACCCAGTGTTTATCCTCCCACAGAGAGCGGGTGCCCACAAACACACAAGGCCATGTTTGTTTGTCCTTTCCATTCTTCACTTTCTATACATCTTGGGGAAATTGAATTGTGTTTGATGTTGACATTTTTGTAGATCATTCCTGATCATGAATGGAAGGGCTGCCTTATGCTCCGTAATTGTGACATCACGTTACCATCGAATGAATGAACCATAATTTATTTAATGACTCTTACCGATGGACACAGGTTGTTTCTGACATGACCCCATTCCAGTTGTAAAAAATAGAACCGCGTGCAAACCTTCTCCCTCTCTCTTCCCCTCGTCTTCCACTGTGGTGCTGGAGAAAGGCAGCCCTGGGGCCTCACCAGCATGGGAACGTGTAACTCAGGTTTTCCATGGCTCACCTGGCATCACTGTACCTGCTCTGGGCCTGTGACCGTGGCCTTTTCCCCAGATGCTTTCCCTAAAGGAGGAGGAACCTCCCGCCAGCCAGGGTGTTTGCCTGCCTGCAGGTGCCGGCCCACAGACACGGTGGGTTTATCCCCAGCCCAGAATCCTCCCCCCGCTGGGCTCTTTGATGAGGTCCCCAATGGGATGTGTTCCGATGCAGGCCAAGGAGAGCCCTCCAGGGACTTGGGGGCTCTAAGACAAGTCCGTAGAATAAAATATTCATCTTCCCCACCCCAGGGCCTCTCTCCTTTGCGCACACATGTGATTTGGTGACTCGGTGTTCTGCTCCATTTTCTCCTCCAGAAAAACAAGAACAAGAAAAAGGGCAAAGATGAGAAGTGTGGCTCAGAGGTGACCACGCCGGAGAATAGCTCCTCCCCAGGGATGATGGACATGCATGGTGAGCTCCCCCCGCCCCCCGTGCCGGGCCCTCTCCCGCCAGGCCCCTGGGCCGAGCAGAGCACTCAGTTGCGTTTTGTTTCACCAGCAGGTTTGTTCACATTCCAGGTGAGGGGTAGGAGGGCTGGGCAGGACCAGGAGGCGTGTGTGCCAAGGAGAAGGTTCTGTGGAGGAGAAGAAACTGCTTTCCCCAGCCCAACAAGCCAAGAAACAAAACGAGACCTTCTTCTCACCCAGGGACAAAACTCTCAGAGGAGATGTTCTTTCAGCTCTGGGTGCCCAGCAGATTTTTGGGGCGTACGTTTCTTTTTCCCTCCTAAGCCTGACATGCCGTATAAATGACTCTCTGTTCCATTTTCCCATTTTGCTTCGGCTGCTGGGAAGCTCCAACCTGGATTCCTGACTTCACGTCCATCACTCTGGGACCTGTGTTCCACGGCGCCAGCCTAACTTCCTTTGCTGTCTTATTTAAAAAGCTGTAACCGGGGTGCCACCCATCAAATCCAGGTTCGGGGTGCGCTCCAGCCAGCCTGCAGTTGTCTTGACGTGACTGGTGTTTATATCTCTTTTTTACCTTTTTATCTGAGAGGAAAGGCACAGACCCTATGCGTACAGCTGCATGCACTGTTGACAGACGACACATACCCAAGTCACTGGCCCAGGTGTCCCCTCCTGGCCGTCCCCACCCCTCCAAGGAAAACCGCCACCCAACTTCTGACCTGAGAGAGTCAAATGTTAAGTCTCTAAAACATTGACTTTCTGATACTTATAAATCAGGAAATCTGCTTTTCTGCCATCCTTAGAGAAATCAGAACCCGAAACTCCGGGCATGTGCTCCGTCTCGAGGCTGTAGCACTTAGGGAGGGTGCTGCCTCTCCGGGCCCACCTGGCTCACCTTCTGTCATCTGCCTGGCCTACTGGCGTTAAAAGCTTGCAGCATTTGCCTCTTTCCATCTCTTGATCCCAAGTTCAGTGTCTTCGTACTTTTGACCACGCTGTGCCTTTGGCACAAGGTGGTATTAAGATAAATGAGTAAGTACATCTGAAAAAGGAGTTTTGGTTTGATAAGTTCCTAACCCTCCAGACCCAGGGCTGTCTTGTACTGGGGAGACTGACACGTCTGGAGGACATTGTCCCAGGGTCCGAGGATAGAGTCTGGCTTGTTGCTAAAAGAAACCCAGAGTGTGATAGGAGGGGACGAGAAAGCACAGGGGGTTTTGCAGCTGGGTAGCGTGTGCAGAAAGCCTCCCGCTGGCCATGCAATCATAGTTGGGATGCATTTCGTTTTCGGAAGCAGGAATTTGGGCTGGGACGTAATACCTGTTTCCCTGGCATTGGCTGGCTCCCCCTTTCTCTAAGGGTCAAGAAGACTCCAGGCCTGGCTCAGGGCTTTGGTTGAATCATAGGATTACAGGTGAGGGACTTTTAGAGCAGAGATCCTACCTGGGTTCCAACCTGACTCTCCTCGGGTCTCCCTGCAGCTGGGTGACCCCGGACTAGTTACTTAACTCATAGCCTTCGGGCTTGTCTGTTTTCAATCTGTCAAATGGTGATGGTAACGCCTACTTCATAAGGTTATTGTGAGTATTAAGATAATTTTTTTACAGCTTTGATATGTTGGTAGCTTAACATTTAAGAAGCCGTCACAAGGTGCCAAGCATCTTGCTAAGCCCACTTCATGTATCGCCTCCTTTGATCCTAAAAACAAGCCCCGTTGTACAGATGAGGGGAGTAAGGCTCAGAGAAGGCCGTGACTTGCCCCGAGTCAGGAAGGTCAGCAATGGCCATCCTGGCATGTGAGGTCCTTTGTGAGGCAGCATCTGAGTTTGTGGCCACTAGAAAAATCTAGACTAGCCCTCCAGAAAAAAAAAACTAGAATGCTAAACAAACCAGGAGCCATGCTCACCTTCTCATGTGTCATTTCCACTTCAGTACATGTGCAGCCAAGACCAAGGCCAACCACAGAGCACGTCAGTGAAAGTTTGGGGCAAGATGTGGGGGCCCGGCTGGATTTGTGCGGGAGGCTCCGGGTGGGAGGACGGGGTAGGGGGAGGTGAAGGAGGCCCTCTGCAACCAGCTCTCTATAGTCTCCAGGGTCCAACCGAGGGGAGCCCCCGTATCAGGGTCACACCGTCCCAGGCTGGGCGGCTAACTTGCTAAACATTAGAGCTTATTGGCACTCATTAATATAATCTCACGCTGGGACCTGTGGGTCCAGCCTCTCTGCCTTCCATGCTTCTTACACATAACGCACGTATCCTGGCCTAAGGAAGAGGTTTAGATTTTCTCAAAAGGCAAATCGGGAGAGTGTACATTTTTTTTGTTTTAAGCCCCAGAATTCACTCCTAAGCAGCCCCCAGAGTACACTTAAGATGCAATGTACCCAGTTGGGGCTGCGTGACTGCCTGGCGCTCCCTCGGCAGGTTAAGATTGGAAGAAAGACGGGGGGTTCGGAGTTGGGAGGACCAGCCTGAGCAAAGGGCTCTGCTGCTCTGAGTCTCAGTTTCCCCCTCTGTAAAGTGAGGGTGGTAACAGCACCTACCTGGTAGGTTGTTGAGAGGATTAAACAAGGTGACTGTAAATGCTCCCCCTCTCCACTCCCCTCCCCCTCCTCTCCTTACAAAAATGGCCTTGGTCTCAGGTGTACAGCATGGCCCAGAAAAGCAGCGTAAGTTTACAGTGTTATTTTTGAAATTGCTGCTTCCGTATCCACAGTTTAAGATGACTCTCTGTGCCCAAGAAAGGGGGTCCAAAGTAAGGGGGCATGTGCCCTGGGACCCCAGCTCTGCCTCCAGCTTAACACTAATGCAATTGCCTCATTAAGTTTATTTCCTTTCTGCTTTTCATTATGAAAAATTTCATAAGAGAGAACAGTAGCATGACTACGATGATGAACCACCCCATATACCTGCTACCTAGATTTCCACTAATATCATGCCATATTTGCCTCATCTATTTTTTTTAACTGTGTTGTTTTTAAATTGAATTACAATTTACATATGAAAAATGCACAGCTCTTGAGTGTACAGTTCAGGGAATTCTGACAATTGTGTGGAGCCTCTGTTAGAGCATTTTAAAGTAAATTTTCCTGCATCATGATATTTAAGTCTGTATCTAAACACTTGAGCACACATCATTAATCAATGACATTGCTATACACCCACTGTACCGTTGTCACTCCTAACAAAATTAACAATAATTCCTCAATATCTTTTAAACTCCAGACTATATTCAAATTTACCAATTGCCCCAAAACATCTCTTAACAGCTGACATGTTCAAAACAGGATCCAAATGATTTTCTCACATCACGTATAGCTGTTACGTCTCTTCATTTCCTGTAATCTACAATAATCTTCCATACTTCTCCTTTTAAAAAAAAAATTTAATGGTATTGACTTGAGGAACCCGGGCCTATTGTCCTGTGGAATATCCCACTTTGTGCTGTGAACTAGTTCTTCCCTCCCTTGTATCTTGTGTCAAGTGGAAGTTTGATCTAGAGACTTAATGAGATCAGGCGAAACCTCTTGGCAGTGTTGCCTCGTGGACCTGTGTTGGCCTTTGTACCGCTTCAGAGCCAAGGGCACAAGATGTCTGGTTTCCTCACCTAAAAGGAGACCTCAGATGTCCCCCAAAAAGTCAGACTGTGCCAGGCCACCGTGTGTAGCTGGCCACCTCCAAACACAGACTTGTCCTCAGGTGGCCCGTGGGGGCAGGTCAGGTCCAACTCCCAGAACCCTTTGCCTCACAGGTCGCAGGTTGTGAGGGCTGGCGCTGGGTGTGTCAGCCGAGAGGTTCGAAAGGAGAAAGTGTCTTCTTTCCCGGGAGACTGTCCTGCTGCAGGCACGGAGGCTTGGAAAGCTGAGCCTTCAACCCGGTTTTTCCCAGCAGCTGCCCGATTTCACCTGTGGTTCTGTTCCCTCCACGCAGACGATAACAGCAACCAGAGCTCCATAGCCGATGCCTCCCCCATCAAACAGGAGAACAGCAGCAACTCAAGCCCTGCTCCAGAGCCCAACTCGTCCATGCCAGGCGATGGCGCCGACACCAAGGCCGACGAGGCCCAGGCCGAGGGAAAGGAGCTCCCTAGGGCTGAAGGTATGTGCCCTTGGGGACCTGGGCTCAGAGGGGCCTCCCTCTCTCCATCCAGCCTTCAGTCGGGCAGACAGTTGACAGGTCTCTAAGGAGGCCCTGCCATGTGCCGGCCCCCAGAAGGCAACGGCAGAAGAAAGGTAACGCCTGGAGTTCATATTCTTGGCGGGAGAGAGGGGGGTAATTTAAAAATCACATGATTTAGCATTTGGAAAATAAGTGTTGTGGAGAATTATAAAGTAAGAAAAGGTAATGGGGAGTCTTGCCGCATCGGGGGGTCAGGGAAGGCCTCACTATGCAAATGAGGCTCAGATTCAGAGAGGAAGCAAGCCATGTGGATAACTGGGAGAAGTGCATTGTGGGCAGAGAGAACCTGTGCAAAGGCCCTGAGGTGGGAACGTGCTCATTGTGGGTGGGGGAGAGGGTGAGGGGCTCAGACCGTGAGATGAGGTTGGAGAGGAGGCGGGGCCTGCAGTGTGCATTGCTCATAAGGCCACGTAGCAGACCCTGACTTCTCTGCTGAGTGAGATGGGAGTCACTGGGAGTTTCAGTGTTGTGATCTGAAGGATCGCTTGGGTTGCTGTGATTGAGGACAATGGAGGGGCCAGGGTGGAGGCAGGAGACCGGTGAGGGGGCTAGTGCAGTCATTCTGGTGGGAGAGCATGGTGGCTGCACCATGGTGGGAGTGGAGGGCTCAGTAAGAAGGGGTCTGATTGTGGAGGACGTGTGTGCGTGTGTGTGTGTGTGTGTGTGCGCACATGTGTATATGTTCATTAATTTTGAGGTCTCTGGACTACCTTTAAATGAAAATTTTCAAACATAGATGGTCCCTGACTTACAATGGTTCGCCCTACGATCTTTCGATTTTAGGATGGTACGAAAGCCATACACGTTCAGTACAAACTGTATTTTGAATTTTGATCTTTTCCCGGGCTAGTGATATGTGGTCCGATACTCTCTCGTGATGCTGGACAGTGAGCTGCAGTTCCCAGACTGCCACGTGGTCACAGGCCAAAGGGGTGTGGACATAGGAAGAGCTGGTCACATTTAGGCTGACACTTGCTAGCCGTGTGGCCTTGAGCTGGCAGCGTCACCTCCTGCACACCTTCCTGTTTCCTTATTTATAAAATGAGATAAAGAAAAGCTGCCTCCCTTGTCAGGTCCCTGCAAGGAGTGAGGCAGGAAAGGCAGTGACATGCTCGGCTTAGCCTGGTGCGCAGGAAGGGCCTGGTGAGCAGTGTGTGTGTGTGGGGGGGTGATCTGGGGACCCTGGGGCAGGGGCCCTGCAGGACCAGGTGTGGACCACGTCCGGCTTTCTTTCCAGCAGTTCTCCCATGATTCGGGTCTGTGTCTCCTTTGCCCTCAAGGGCCAGTTCAAGCTCAGCTGCAGGAATCATATCTTGGGTTAATGCTGCCTTCCATAACTACCACATTTGGTAACCACCAGCCCCACAAGCTTTACACGTCTAGGTGGGAACCACACCAGCGTCCTCTTCCGGCCACCGCAGGTCACTAGTCCTGCACCGTTGCCCAGCATTGCTCAGGCAGGACCACCAAAGCGGGCCAGGCCCACCTGCCCACTGCCGGGGGCTGGCTGCCTGAGCTCGCGTGGGAAGGTTGCGGAGGCAAACCCCCTGCAGCCTTTCCAGGTGGGCGCATGCTGCCAGCCTGCCTGTGGGACAGGGTGGTTGGTCACCAGCTGTTGACCTTGCATTGAACTTGTTTACTGCTGAGTGAGTTCAGGGAATGACATAATGTTCAAACTCCCTGGACTAAATTTAGGCCCCAGGAAAATAATTTCCCCTGGGTGAGTTCCAGTACCGCTCTGCTAAGAGAATCAGGCCGCTGCGCCGAGCCCTTGAACACTCCGTGAGCTCCAGGGCCACTGAGCGTTCAGGCCAGTCCAAGGGGGCAGCGTGACTCTCCGGGTGACCAGCCACCTTCGTGATTTCTATGCCTACATCTGGG